AACCGTGGATGTTAACTGTACTTCTCTGCTCTTCGCATGGGGAAAGAATGAATTAGCTCTCACAGGACAGACAGGGACTGTAATCAGTATGCTTCCTTTCTAATCTCCCCTTTTCAGATTTTTATAAACTCCACAGACTTTCTTCTTTGTGGCTGTTCTTCAATGTCAGCATCTGTCTGAAACGAATATTTTTGAACCTTTTTGCTTAGGACAGCTTTTTTTTTTTTTTTTTTTAAACATACAATTAAATGGTTGAGTTCTGGTATAATATGGTAAAACCTGGGCTTGATTTGAAGAGGCTGTAAAAGAATAAAAGTCTTACATTTTACACTGACAGTATTTTTGGCTGAAAGATTTCCTCTTAGGTTTATACAGGAGATAAACCTGAAAAGCTTTGTTACTGAAGCATGAATAGCTAGCTCAGCTGTGTGAATAAATAACAGTTTAGAGAATCAAATAATCATGAAAATGTCATGGAAAAAAAACCCATGACTCCTAAGTCTGAAAGTGAATTAGCTTCTGGCTTAGCAACTCTATCCCCCCACAGCTCAGAAGAAAGTTATATTGAGCACGTTTGGGCAGATAAATTTGGATGTATAATTAGATCTCTCGTCTCTTGATTTGCACATAGAAGGGCTTTCTGACTGGCTACTGAAAACACATTTGATGCATGAATTTTAAGAAATAAAATTACAACAGGGGTGCAGAGAGGCCGTGGAATCTCCATCCTTGGCGATATTCAAAATTTGCCCAGATACAGCTGTCACTGACCTAAGCTCTAGGAGGGGGCTGGAGCGGAGCCCTCTGGACGTCCCCTCCAACCTGCGTGACTTGGTGACTCTTATATTACGGCATTAAGCAATTAAATTTGTGCAGCGATGCAAAAGGGCAAGGTGACAAAGTCAGTTTTTATCTGAACCTCAGCTTTCATACTCTTCCTGTTTAGAGGACAAAATATGGTTGTTTTAATATGAAATTCTAAAAAGACTAGGAGCTTGGATAGCAATTCCACCAGGAAATTTTCACAGCGCTGTATCACTCTCGCAGCACCCACACAAATCAGAGTAAACATTATTATCCTCGGGAAAATTAGGGTAGTGTGTCAATGGAGGCACGTTAAATGTCACCCAGCATTACAGGCAGACGCTCTGAGCTTGTGCGTCCCTCCCTCATGTCCACCGCCAGGGCTCACCACTGCTTCTGAATTAACTGTAAGTCCCCGACACTCAGGTGAGATGCATCTGGCTAACTTAAGAAATGTACGGTGTCAAGCTCTGTACCTGAGGTGGTCACCCCAAATTCCCTTCAGAGTTAATGGGAAATATAGACTTCTTAGGTCGAACCGAAAGGGCACCTGGACAAACTAGCTTGCATAATGTCCACACCCACCTGTGGTCAGGTGGAGTCTATCCTTAGCCCAAATTCTTACGTTATTAAGTGTTACAGATACATGCCTTTAAAATAGGAAAGTATTTATTCTGAGTGAGTGAAATGAAAAGAAATTGAAGAATTAATTAACTAAATAGAGGTGATTAAAGTAAATAAAGGAAACAATTATCATATCAAAATAAAAGACACGAAAGATGATTAAATGAGTCTTCAAAAGGCCCGTGAGAAACTCATGAAAGCCATAATATGCATTTACCTGGTTTTTATTCTTCCATGATTTCATTTTCATTTTTATTCACTACCATCTGATAATTGCAAGAAACAGCTACTTTAACCATGGGCAATTTAAACCATTTTAATTTTTTTTCCAGGGCCAAGAGACAAAAGAACCTATTTATTGCCTGAGGGGATTTTTACTAAAATGAAAGCTTAATCTTTCATGTTTTTTTAAGCAAAGGCTTTTAAAAAAATCATTTCTAACAATGCTGTAGGGAGAGACTTCCATGGGTATGCAAAATTGAAATTATAAATTTACAATTATAAAAAAATTAATAGTTTGGGGGATTGCATTGTCTCTGTTCTTTCCCAATGAATACCGTTTCAAGTTTAAGAGAAAGTATTTAGTAGATGGAGGAGAATGACTGTCCTTAGACTCTCTTGCAGTCAAAGCTATTTAGTAAGTACATAGCATATATGAAAAATCATTAGAGTTCAATTTGTGTGGAAGTATGTGACTGTATGAACCTTGATGAAGGAGTTTCATATAAATTCAGCAATAACTATTAGCTGTGGACAATTCTCTTCGTCCCTTTGAATATATTGCAATTGGAGGCCAGGAGCAAAACCTAACATCCGCAAATGTCAGGTAGCACGTTGGTTTGTTCTCACCTCCTGGCCTGTTCTTCTGTGTTGCCGACGCATCAAAGTTGGTCTGAGCACTATCACCTCTTAAATAATTTGATGTATTCAGGGTTACTAAGTCACAGCTATGCAAAATTAAGCTACAAGGTGAATTTTAACTGAAGCAATCACCAATTGGGGCTCATACAGCACATGTCTACAAACGACAACACAAGAGCTCTTGGTCAAAGATTGAGTCCAACTTTAGGAGAGATATAGTTATATATGGCTAAAAATATGGGTATGAAATATTTGATTTGATGGCCACGGGTTAAGGCACACTAGAAGCACTTGTTTATGCCCAGTCCTGTTTAGTGCAACATTTTGGCTTTAACAGGGTCAAGTAAATGATTAAAATTAAGCCCGTACCTTTGCACTCTCCTAAATTTGGGCAGTTTTCTGAACTGAGAAAATTAATTTAATGCATTATCCGGAGAGGCACAAACATTTCTTCCTGGGCTTAATTCCTAGTGCAGGCTTTGAAATCAGACAAAATAATTTACGCTTATGAAACGCAACAAACTGGACTGTTCTATTAAAAGAAAACTAGACCACAAAAATACCCTCAAGGCCTCCAAGTATCCACACATTGAAAGGCAGCTTTAAAGGTTTTCTGCCAACACATTTCAAGTCTTAATGGAAATACTTTGAGCTACTATGAAAAGCTTTATCAAACTAAATTCATTTTCCATAGAGCAGAGAAGAATCACTGAAGATATTATTCAGGTTTACAAAATATTTAATAGGATGGAGAATGCGGAACCTGATAAGAAAGGTTAAACTCAAGGACATTTTAACAAGGATTGGTTTTAGGTTGGTTGTGGAACACAAACAGGTTAATGAACCTATTAAGTATGGGCTTTCTTTTTGCCCCACCAAGCTATCTAACATTAAAAATGTTCGCGCTTGGCTACTAACTCTCTGTAAGACTTTCAAAAGCAATTGTTATTTTGAACGCACCATTTCAAACTGCAAATATCCAGGATTTTATGAAAATAATGCATCTTCAATGTACCAGCCCAAATCATTAATCTCTTTGGAAAAACCTTGATTTCGGCTCTGAGATACCATTCTGGGCACCTGCAGGCTGTAATTATCCCACAGAAGTATCTGCCCAGCCCTGTTGAAGCATCTCTCTAAGCATGTGCTTCTCCACATTCAGCCACCTGCTAAAACCACGCACTTTCGAAAGCACGCGGGTTAAAAGAGGGAAGAGCAAGTCAGTCGGGCTGCATAAGGCGATTGTGGAGGAGAAGAAGAAAGATAAATGTGGACCTTAAGTATGAACCCTTGTGGTGTGCTAGTGTGGCACGATAAAGAGCACGGCAGAAACTTGCTGTGCTCAACATGCTGGTGCCCCCTTTGCTCCAAGACAGCAGTTACAGGGCAGGTTCATCTCCATCCATCCTGACAATGAAGTCAAGGACGACTGAGCATGCTTTGGGAGGACAGACACTTAGCAGAATAGATAGCTCAAGTTTAAAGAAAATCAGGAAAACAAAATTATTATCACCCAACCTGCTTCCCAGAGCTCTTGTGACTGAATATAATTTTTAGGTCAACATGAGGCCCACACCAAAAACAGGAAAATGCTGCCCAACCTTAATATTTAACCAAGCTGCCTTCCATTTAACCTCTCCCCAAAACAAACAACAAAAGCGTGATACAACGGGAAGTGCTGGCCAGCTTTAACACCCGGCACTACACTCGGTCTCAGTTCTATTGTACGCTGAAGACTGTTTTCCTTACTGATGAGCTCAAACCGTCTGCCATGAATTACTTTTTCATTGGGAATAAATACACACTTAAACAAGACTAAACACAAATGTTCTTTGGTGGTGTCTAAAATAATACGAATGTTTTTTAGAACAGCAATAAACACACTTCATGATGCAAATAATTACACCCTGCAGTCTTTATGTAAAGATAAGTGGCCGTATTCTTGACTTAGCTACATCATTGTAAATCCAGAGTAACGATACTGAATTTCTCAATTTCTCCCTCCACTGATTCTGGAGATGAAGAAGTGTTATTGTGCTCTGTATTTGCCCTGGTCTGAAAGGCAAGGGTTTTGCAGACATGGGGCATGCACACATGTCTCAAAGTCCACGCTATGGTAATGGAGGGACCACAGTCTCTGTTCCTCATTCTTCCAAAAATCTGTATTCCTTTTAGGGTAATGAAGTCAGAATCTGGCTGCGTTTTCCTCCTGCATCCCCAGAAGAAAGCTCTACTTAGGCCACAGCAAGGAAAAGAGAAAGCAAAAAAACAGAGGAGGCTTGCACAAAAAACTCAGGATGGCTAAAGACAATACAAGCATGACATGCTGGGAATCAGCGATCAGCATCTCGAGGATTAAAAGGAACCAACTCAGCTGATCTTTCTCTAAGATCAGAAGGATTTGCTCGTGTTCAGAAACCTTTCGGAAAAGCTAAATTTAGCTCAAGAGCAATTTTCTTGTGGGATTCTGCAAGATGAGTTTGTTAGGCTGAAATGAATTTGGAAAGGTGAACGTGCCCATATTGGACCACTTGAAAAAATAGTTTGTTAATTTCTTAAAAGTAAAAACAAAAATACACTTGGCTCTTAACAGGATCTCCAGAATTTTTATGAGCGCAGAGCTTAGGCACAACCTGGAATCACAGTTTTGACTACCTTCCTCCCATTTTGTTCTCGTTGCTGTATTGTGAAAGAAAGCGCTCTGCTCTTACCGGGACTTGTGAGGGCTCCCAGAGCACCGGTCGTTGTGGAGAGAGGATTTGCATTGGTGGTGGTAGCTGAGGTTTGGGCGGCGGCTGCTGCGGCTGCTAAAGTTGCCAAATTCTGTAATTGTAAAGCGTTCATGCCTGCGTGGAGAAGCAACAGGGTTAATTAAGAGATGCCATTTAAAAAAATAAAAAAAACTATTTTCAATGGACATAGAGTTTCGGAGGTACTTGCAAAGAGGCCCAATTCTTCTTTTCACTCTCAAGACTTCTAGAATCTGGGTACCACCTCTTACAGCCCCCAAATAGCATTTCTCACCTACCCACCTTGGAAGCGTGAGAATGTGGGAAAGGCACTGGCCTCCAACTCAGGAAAATTACATTTGGTTTGTGCCTCTTCTACAAAGGAACTGCAGAATTAAAAGTCATTTAAATTCCATGTGAAGCACAGATGCAATACTATTTCCTGACACAACAGGGGGTGTAAAGAAGATAATGTTTAAAACACATCAGGACAGGGTCATATAATTTAGATGAATATTAATTGTTTCCCGTGTCTCCTCTGAATGTCTCTACTAATACTACACTACACAGTACAGTAGCCAATAGCTACAGTGATTCTCCTTTTAATGGTTCACGTCTAAAAACGCGTATGAACTAGGGGCACCAAATTAACAGACTGATCACTAAGCAGTCACCATTGAACTGGGAGCTTTTAGGCCAAAAGCTCTGGATTGTGACAGTTAGTATACTCAGTCATCTGTTACTTCATTATTTTGGAAGACATGGGGGAAGTATAACTCCATTTCAAAAGGGGACCTCCAAGAAATGCATTTATTTAAATAGCAAAGGTTTTAATTTAGCTGGTAAGCAAAAAAGAGGACAAACAATAAACAGAATTTATGTGAAATGGAAAAAAGATGATTAAACAGCAGCAAATGGCATTCAATTGACTTGAATCAGATAGGTAGGAGTTTGCCTCTCGGAGGCCTTCAAAAATACCTACCTTTTTCCTACTTAGGCACTTATTCTAAGGAGGATTGCTTCAGCAAGAGACTGCAATGCAGATACAAGTTAGGTGCCTAAGTTAACCAGATTGGACCCTTTTCAGGATGCTCTGAACAGGATGCAACCGTCCAAAGGGGGGATCACCTCTGTGGGTGTCTACCTACGCACATGAGAGAGATCACTTGGGTGGTAGTGGGAGCTCATTACGTTGGCCTGGACACGTGAGGGACATCTGTGCATGCAGTTTGAGCCCTCAATGAAATCAGGGCATTGACAAAGCAAATAAAGAAACATAAAATATCAAAACAATTTTGTCATGTTCTTGTAGCCCTGATAATCTAAGTGTATACAAAATGTTAGTTTGCAGGAGGAGTAGTATCTTTTTAAGACCAAGTGGGAGCGCCAAGAAGACCACATGTGCTTTGGGGAACACCCAAAGAAGAGCCTAAGTGCCTGGAAACTTGTTCAATTTTTTCTGAATATGTTAGTTTGCCTAACAAGAGACATTACTTCTCCCTGCAAACTTTGTTTCTCAAACCTTAATAACAACCTAGAGAAGATGAATAAAACTAAGTTTTGGAAACAACAACATACTAAGAAATGTATTTCAGAGAAAGTTATCTGAAACAAGTGATGATGAGGACCTTCATAAGGAGTTTCCAAATCCTGTGTCTGGTTTAACTTGAAAACTTTTCAAGGAACAAGTACAATTCAGTGAGGATGTTTTTGCAAGCGTCACTCTGTGTTTTTTTTTAAATACTCAGCCAACACACTCACTTTATGACTATATGCAGCCTGATGAGTAAAATCCTTTTTTTTTTTTTCATTAAAAACTGCCTCTTATTTTTAGGGTAAGATTCTGAAGATACTTGAACGACAATTTTTGGGACAGAGATGACAGAGCTGGGGGTCCCGATCTTCGCAAAAAAGCAAGAGAGTGGTCCTCTAAATGAGATATGGAATCTATTTTCATCCTGGCTTGATATTTGGTTCTCAGGTAACCTTCTTTTACCTTGCTGGTCTTCACTGAGGCCACGTTTTGTGCTGTTCTGCAATGCAGTTAGTGGGGAATTTGATAAAGTGCTGGGCTTGCTCGCCACCACGGCCCTGCGGTTTCTATCACCCACTGGCCAGCCATTGATCAGAAGGATCAGTTGTGATCAGCTCGTATTTCTTCTGAGGTGAGGTTTCCATTCCTGACTTTTAAACAGCATGTACTGGGTGGCTTAAAGAATAGTGAACAAAAACATGCAGAATAGTACTGGAAAACAGCTTCACCTAGATGAAATCCTCCACACTTCAGGAAAATGCATGGACCTTTCTCCAAAACTCAGTAAAGGGGTTTTGAAGCAATTTGTTGCGTCTTTTTCTATTGCATTTTATCTGGTCAGCTCTGAGCGTGCATGCAAAGCTGTTGTTGTGCCTGTGTGGACGCAAAACAAACACCAGCATTGCCTCATCCCACAAAAACACTTTTTTTTTTTTTATAATGGGACACTTCCTGTGGAAGCAGAAGACGAATCCATCAACTTGAAGGAAGAGTTTCAAAGTCAAAAGAATATCAACAAACACGAGCTCTGCGATGACGAAGTCCTCTCCCCACCCAGCATGTTTTACTGCAGAGGTGACTAAAAGATACTGGCCACCAGCCACCTCTGCAGATGTTACAGGGTGTCAGCTATGGTGCCTTCACAAAAAAAGCTCCCTCTAGTAGTCACACATGTAGAAGAGAAGTACACCAAGGAGCCCCACTGACCCGGGCACCCAAGTGTGGCTGCTGGAATGGGCTTAAAGTGCTGAGGTTTATCACTTAATGGGCATCCTAAAGACTGTGTGCTGAAACATGTCACAAATAAGTCCTGTCATCACCATTTCACTTTCCCCAGACGTTCTATCATCTCTGCTCCCTCTTTCTTGGCGTTTCCCGGCAGCTTGTCAAATACATCAAAATCCCACTTGCCAGGACAAACTTGGAGGAGGGAAACCAAATGCTCTTGAGCCCCAGACCCAGAAAGTACTTTGCTTCCAAACAGGGATTGTGGTTCCACTGAACTTCAGCCAAGTTATAGTTCTGTAGGACTAATCTGCTCTTTCGTTCTCTCCTTTTTCACACTCTGTCTTCACACATTTCACATGCTACAGCTTTTTTCAAAACAGTCCCAAATCCCGGAACAGAACTGGACCGAAAATGAGGAGATCGTTTTTATTTGAAAGTGCTGCTCACTCAGCAAATGCACCTCTCTCTGAAGAAATGCAAATTGCTTAACACTGAAGAACAGCCTCATAGGCAGAGCTGCACATGAAAAATGAAAATCCTCCTGTAGGGAAGAAAACTTCTGGGTAAGAAATAACTCTTGATCTTCCTGATGGAGACGATGTTGGGAATTAAAGTGAAATGATTAAAAAAAATAGAATCACAATACAGTTTGATTCCATTTTTAATAACATGTATTTACCAATGTGCTATCAGCTTGGCAAATATTCAAGATTGGAAGGAAATTCAACTTTCATTTTGTTATTTGGCAGATTAAAAAAACAATTAAATTATGTACAAAACAGATGCACAGTATGCCTTGCTTGAAACTTAAGATTTAAAAAAAAATTATTTATAAGGATAGGGGCATGAAAATTTAATTTAATGTTCACCTTAGGTAATTTTGTGTCTTATTGTTCACAGCAATTACCATAAATCTACATATCAATAAGCAAGAACAGATGTCAGTTGTTACAAGTGCTTGCCAATCAGGCCTGTTAAAAAGTGACAGATGGATGGTTATAGAACATTCTCATAAGGCCTATTAGCACATTCGCAGGAAATTTTTGTAGTGCTGCACAGTCACAGATGCAGTGCTGTGAAAACACGGGTAAATCTGAGAGCATGAGATTTCCATTTTGCAACTTCTTGTGCTGCCTCCGAAGCGAACTTTCATACAATAAAGTAATTTGCCTTGTTTTAGTCCCCACAGCTTTTCTCCTGTGATAACGGTAAATTCGGAATTAGTGGGTATTTGCAGAGGAGGCAGCCAAATCGTGAACTGTTCCTAAAGACTTCTTAGGCTTCATCAGACTTTGGGTTTCCAAAGCCGTAATAAAATCGTATAAGGAAATAGTCGAGACTCGCTTGCACTTCCACACTGAACAAATTCCTAATAAAGGAAGGCATTAACTATGTTTTAGTAACTCTATATGCATCAAGAACTTCATAATCAGTGGTGATGATCAGAGCCAAATGTTGCATAGATCATAAGCAGTTTCCAGCAACTTGACCTCTGCCTTTTCTTCAGAAATTTTACCCTTCCCAATTACTAGGATTTATCCTTCTGAATTAAACCCTGACTGTAGCTTAAATATTGTGACTTAAGGTAAAATTTATTATCTCTAGCGCCAAAAAGCAACCATTTATTAACACTGATACTGGACACTTGGGAGGCTTATGTTAAAAAAAGTGGGTAAACTCTTCACGGATGGTGTTTGCAAGAATGTGATGTTACTGCCAGCAAAATCCTAAGTGTTACAATGGACAGGAGAGACCTGAGCACTACCTCCATCAAACCACACACACACCCTGCACCAATCTTTAGAAAAGCTGCTTATTTGCACAATACTTTTAAAGTATCCTGGCTACTTAGTGTCTGATTTAGCACAGCCATGAAAACCACTTTTAACTTTAAGTTCTCATTTGATTCTGCCCTATTGATCACATTACTGAAAATCATGGGCTTAAATCCAACTTTAAGTTTTAGCTACCGGTTGACTTGCACAGGATTTCAGCACATTTTTGAGTTATACATGCTCTTAGCATGTTCCTGGCAAGGAATGTGCTTTTCTCAATTTAATTCTTCCCAGTCCTAGCAGAAGAGATTCATCTCATCTAACTTTATCCAGCTAAAAGTTACTCGCTTAGGCTTTCGCTATAGTCAAAGGAGAGAGAGAGAGAGAGTAGATGATTCATCCAGTCCTAAAATAGACAGATTAACCCCCCAGCCCTGGGTAGGATGAATTGCTGCCTGGAAATGACTCCCTCTTCACTGACATTATGGGGAGACTGGATGCCGAATTTCCAAACTGCAAAGTTTAGTAAGATGAATTCCACCCACAGCGGGGCCAGGGGAATAAAAAGTCTCCCTCGCTTC